GAGTTCCACGACTATAAAGTATCTGTAGAAATTTCCCTATAAAATTAAATATTCATGCTTAACAGCTTAACATATTACAGTAATAATCATTACAATTTATCATTATTTGAAGAAGTAAGAGGGTACAAATGAAAAGATTTGAAATTGACACTTTTTTAAAAAATTTCCCTGAAGTAGACATTTATCCCCCACTCTTTCTTTCTTTCATTTACTCATTGAAACCAGACAGCATCTCTGATATGTCTTTCCCATCTTTGTAGAATAGTCTATTATTTATTAGGTATTGGTACAGCGTAACATATACACTAACTCAGAAGCAGGCAGAATATGATATTTCTTTTAAGTATTTGTACAAAATTATCAAATACACATCTAATATCAACAAAGTAATATTGAAGTATATATTCCAATCCAATTTCATGCGTTTTCAGTTTGCATAATGAGCCTAAGATTGGTAATAATCTTTGTTAATTTTCTACAAGAATTTACAGGAGGTTAAAGAAAAATTGTTTCCAAAAGTGATTACTCTTTTGCCTTCTTCCTTTGAACCCAAAAGTTGAGTTGAGAAAGAACATTTACTTCTTTTGGCATAGTAAAAAACAAAAATACTTCTCAAATTGAAAAAAATAAATTAATCATTCTTAACGCATCAATTTGTAGTCAGTTTTCAGTTGAACGAAGTATTTTGCTAAATCAATAAGCATTGAAAAAATATCTTGGAACCAACCTTTTTTTTTTTTTTTAACTTTGAGAACAAAACAAGACAATAACAATGTAAACAATTAAATATATACATCTGTATATGTAAGACATAATCATACATATATACACCCAAGTAAATGCTAGTTGACATTTGTTTGATAGCAGTGAAAATACCAACATACAATCTAGTATGCTTGTAAATGACAAGTTCTAGTTAAGACTAATAAGGAAAATAATTTAAAAAGAAAATACAATTTATTAAAACAAACAATAGATTATTTACAAATAAAAAGTAACAATACAGCTCAGGTTAAAATAATCAGGAAACAATTGTAGATAATAAATAAATATAAACCAATGTAATATAAATGTCTTAATATTTTCTTACATTTATTTATTACTTAGCAAGACGGAAAATATTGACTATTTTCTGATATATCAAAATCTACATAATGCCAAACACATTTTGAGTGAAGAGCTTTCTTATAACCTTTTTATTTTTTTTTTTTTTTTACAAAGTTGTACAATGGCTATTCAAAGAAGAACAAGAAATTTGAAGAAATAAATGATGTTCTCAATTTAACAAACGTTTAGTGAAAAGACTTAAGAAAATGACATATATACTTTTGTCAAACATTAGAAATGACATCCTCAACAAATGTACATGAAATGAATGGACAAGTGTAAGTAGAAAAAATAACATTGTTCTCCAACTTGGATAATGCAAATATTTTATAAGTTTATGAACATTAAAAAAAAATAAACTTTTTAAAAACTTCAGCCCAAGCAAGGCAATAAAGCCACTAAGACACAACAGAAGAAACAAACCCAATTAATGAGAACAATAAAAGAACAAGAATTAAGAAGACAGAAGATAACAATTGAAATTACATTTAAATTTTTGAAGCTCAAACTTGATTGGAAAGTAAGAAGCCAAAAGAGAGTTCCACAAGCAAGAAGTGCAATAGAAAAACTATTAGTATAAAATTTATGGTTATATCTAGCCATTTCAACAGTAAAATAATGATAACTTACTGCCAATATGATACAGCACTTAAACCCATAAAGTCTAAGTAACTTAGAGGAAAGTTTATCAGAACAATTACCCAGAATGTATTTATAGAAAAGGCACAGGGAAGATACATTACAGTAATGGGAAACTCACTAAAGCCAAGATTCTGGATCAGGAGCAATAACATTGCAGATTCTTCTTTGAATTTTATCATGACTCTTTAAATATCAGGTCATCCCATAAGTTCTGTCCGAATTTTGAATAAAAAAAAGAAGTGACCAAATGTTACATTTAATTACAGATTCAATCAACAATGTATTTTCCCTGATTATCTATGACTTCCTTCCATCTATTAACAAGCTTACTAATTCCATTACTGTAAAATTCTTTTGGCTTTGATTCGAAGAACTCACAAATGTCAGTTTGAACCTCTTCCTGTGTTACAAAAGCTGTTTCTTCCAAATCATTCTATAAGCTACAAAACAAATGGTAGTCTGAAGGAGCAAGATCAGGAGAATAAGGTGGATGAGGAATTTTCTCCCAACCAAGTTCTTCGATCTTTTGTGATGTGATTCTTGCTGTGTGGGGTCGCGCATTGTCCTGATGAAACATCACCTCTTTTTGATTCACTAGAGCAGGTTTTTTTTCCCCTCAAAGCTTGGTTCAAATGCTCTAATTGCTGACAGTATATTTGAGCATTAATTGTTGCATTAGGTGGTAAGAATTCAAAGTGGATTATTCCTTGGCGATCCCACCAGATTGAAAGAAGAACCTTTTGCTCATGAAGTTCCCTTCTCGGCTGTGGCTGGGGTCCTTCCCCTTTACCAAGCCACTGTCTACAACAATTAACATTTCGATAAAAGATCCATTTTTCGTTGTCAGTCACAAGTCTATCCAAAAAAGGTGAAACAAGTTGGCAAGAATGGAGAGAAGAGCAGATATCAACTTGGGGTTTGAGGTTGTTTTCAGACAATTCATGAGGCACCCATTTTCCAAGTTTAGGAACTTTTCCAAGTTGTTGAAGATGACGATGAACAGTTGTATGGTTTGAACTGAGAACCACTGCCAATTCCTCAACTGATAAAGCAGGATTTTCTTCAAGGTCTACTTCAAGAACCTTTTCATCAAACTCAACTGGACGTCCGGTTCGATCTTCATCTTCAAGGGTGAAATCTCCACCTCTGAATTTTGCAAACCATCTTCTGCAAGTTCTTTCATTCACACATTCCTCTCCATAAACTGAGTGAACGTTTCTAGCCACTTCAGCTGCTGAGTTTCCTTTCTTGAACTCATAAAGCATTATGTGCCTCAAATGATTCTTGGGTATTTCCATGTTAGCAGGGTTTTAATCAAACAAAATTTAATTTTATTGTTCTCTGAAATAAAATTTGATCAGTTTAAATGCATCTAAACATAAAAATAATGTTCAACTCCATTAGACATTATAAAATACTCTTTAAATTTCGTTCATTTTAACAAAAATGAAAAATTTGGACAGAACTTATGGGATGACCTGATATATAGCAGGAGCACCAGACTAGATGTGGCAGCAATATTCAAAGCAAGGACAAACTTTTAAACAAAAAAATCATACCAGCAAAATTTAATTTGTAAAAAAAAAGAAAACAAATGTCAGTATACTATGTAAATAATAATAGTAATACTTGTGAAACTTGAAAAATCATTGGCAAAATTTTGATAAGCAAAAGAGAACAACATGATCATTTGGTCTGCAACAATTTCTGTTAGAAATGATTATGAAATAATTCTAGTTACTTTCTAAATTTCCTAAATAGCATTATTAATTTTTTACAAAATTCTTTGCATTTATAAAGGAATATTAATTAAGTGTTGATGAGTATTAACACATGTTTAAAAAAAAATATTACATTAGGTTCGTAGCATAAAAGGAAGCTAGTGGTTTGACAAATTCTCATATTGATC